ATAACCCAAATAAACATAAAATGCTGTTTTTAAATGATGATTTCATTTATTGAAGGAAAATGCTGTTCAGTCCTACCTGGCCCTATGTGAAAAAGTAAATGCTCCCTTAGCCACTAAATCAACCAGTTAAACTAATTCAGTTGACTACTGGGTTCAGTTTTACTAGCCACACCCAGGCATGATTACTGCCAGAACTGTTGAATCTAAACCTCACTTAAATAAAACCTAAACTAGCCTGAAGCAGGCTAGAAGGTATCTAAAAGCAAGACATGATGCAGAACAAAGTCATTGAAATCTATTAGTCTGGAAAGGGTTACAAAGCCATTGCTAAGGCTTTGGGACTCCAGCGAACCATAGTGAGAGTCACTATCCACAAATGGAGAAAACTTGGAACAGTGGTGAACCTTCCCAGGAGTGGCCGGCCTACCAATATCTCACCAAGAGCACATCAAACACTCATCCAGGAGGTCACAAAAAAACCTAGACAAACATCTAAAGAACTGCAGGCCTCACTTGCCTCAGTTAAGGTCAATGTACACGATTCCATAGTAAGAAAAACACTGGGCATAAATGGCCTCCATGGGAGAATTGCAAGGCGCAATGACCAAAAATAACACAAAGACTCGTCTCATATTTGCCAAAAACATCTAGATGATCCCCAAGACTTTTATTCTCTGGACTGATGAGTCAAAGATGGAACGTTTTGGAAGACATTGTCCTGTTACATCTTGTGTAAAGCAAACACCACATTCCACCATAAGAACATCATACCAACAGTCAAACATGGTGGAGGTAGTGTGATGGTCTGGGGCTGCTTCACTTCTGCAGGACCTGAACGATTTGTCATAATTGTTGGAACCATGAATTCTGCTCTCTGTCAGAAAATTCCTGAAGGAGAATGTCGGCCCATCAGTTTGCGACCTAAAGGTCAAGCGCAGTTGGGTTATGCAGCAGGACAATAATCTGAAGCACACAAGCGAGTCCTCCTCTGAATGGCCCAAAAGAAACAAAATTAAGGTTTTGGAGCGGCCCAGTCAAAATCTTGACTTGAATCCCATTGGCATGCTGTGACAGGACCTTAAACGGGTAGTTCATGTTCAAAAACCCTCAAACGAAGTAAAAAAAAATATATATATATATGTTTCTGCAAAGAAGAGTGGGCCAAAATTCTTCCACAGCAATATAAAAGACTCACCGCAACTGTAGTTTCGTCATACACGAAACAAACATTTGATTGCAGTTGTTACTGCCAAGGGTGGCAGGACCAGTTATTAGGTTTAGGGGGCAATTACTTTATCTCATGGGTGATATAGGTTTTGAACTCTTTCTCTTCTATAAATGAATTGATCATTCAAAAGCTGCATTTTGTGTTAACTCATGTTGTCTTTATCTTTATTAAAATTAGTTGGATGATCAGAAACATTTATATGTGACAGATTAGCAAAAATAGAAATAAAAAGAAATTGGTGAGGTGCAAATACTGTTTCACAGCGCTGTAATAGGCCTGGTACTTTAAGGGGTTAATGTCATTTGTGTATCTGTACTGTACTTCAGTGCCTGAAGAGACTGATGGGACTACATGAGGAAATGTAACTAATGCTGGCTCGTTTGCAGTGATGGTGTAATTTGATGGTCATGTATGAATCACTCTAATGCAAACTCATTAATAAACATATGAAAAAGAGAATAACGATAAGCTTTTAGATAGTACAACTGCACTCATTTATCAGAGCCTAAAGCTGGGAAAGTTTACTAAGCCCAAGGCTAAGAAGACCTGAAATCATTCTTCCTTCTACAAAGTGCATGGAAAAATATTCCACTTCAGTCAAGTGGCATGTCTGGGCAGTACTACTTTCTGGAAATCTACATCACCTTGTATCATCAGGATAAATTATGAGTATGATATGAGTTTGTCCATGACTAATTACACTCTGGGAACAATGGGCAGAGTGAGAGTAAATATGGAAATCTGTGATGAACGGAAATCTACTTTTAATTGGCCAGGTGGAAAAGAGAACTGTCTGTAGTACAGAAAACAGAGCATCTCACCCAATCTCGAGCTTTTGATCCTCTTTGTATTTCATTATATGCCCGCATTGATCTGTTTATCATTTTTTTCTCATCTGTCATTTTTTCATCCCTCATTCCTCTTATAGACTCCCATTCATTTTTTTAACAACACATAGCTACCACTTTGCAACCACCTAAAAACCACCCATACATCATAGCAACTGCCTAGCAACACCTTAGCAACTGTGCAATCACTCTGCATTTTCTTCAGGAAATGCACTACTCTAGTTTCATTATATGACTCAAATAAGACAAGTAATCCAAAAGTAACAGAAAAAAAATCCAGTTACATCACTGTAATCCAGTAATTCTTCAGATTAGGTTGCGGTTATTATTAGATTAGCTGTGCACTAAGACAGCAATGATTTAAGTTGTAAAACTTAAAATGTTCATCCCAACGCCCAGTCCTTAAACCCTGCCAGTTTCAGCATTGTATTTTGGGATTTTTCTAGGGTAACCCAAAAACACTGGTACTAGCCTGCTATTTAGGCCTACTAGCTAACAAGACTATTAGCCCTGAACTAAGAATTTTCATCTCTTTGTTCTGGGAGCTTCCTTGGGCTAACTATAAAAAGCTGCTGCTAATTATTTTCTTAAGTTGACTAGCACTAAACCACTACTAAGTGCAACATGACTCCAAATGAGTCAGTCAGCACAGGGCTAGCAATATCCTTTATCCTGACAGAATAGACATATTCATGACTGTTTATGAATAAACTGCTTAATAGGAGATGTGCAGGAGGGACAGCTATGCCAGCAAGTGTTTATTTTGTTCTTGTTCAAGAATCTGTTACCTCAAGTGCCAACAACATCTGGGTGTTTCACCATGGAAGTAAGTGGGGTGAATCCAATTGGCACTGTTCTCCATAAACACTGGAAGAAGACCTGAATGACAGCAGCAAATTATGACTTTTCTTTGCAACTAGCCATTCATGTCCACCTCTGAGAACACTGAGAAACGTGTCCAGGCTGTACTATTGCTTGAAATTCAACTACAATAACTGCATGCATAACATTATGAGCAAAACACATGCCTACTTGTGATTGATTATACTCTCAGACAGTAAAAAAGAGAGTGACAGAGATTTCAGATAAGACATAAGATAGCACAAGTGTAAATAGTCTTGACCATTATGTTGCTTGGCAACCATGACCTACTATGACGAATTACATTGCTTAACAGAATCTTAAATCTAATCTTCTCTGAAATATGACTTTGATGCAGTATTGTATATTGGGCTAGTGAAGTGTGTTATCACAGACGGCTGATTAAACTAAATACATAACATAACTCAAGAGTCTCATGTTTGCAGTCCAGACTTTATTTGAGATAACCAAATATGAATGGAATGGCATTTATACAGCCTACAACCAAAGTGTTTATACAAGAACTGATTATGCATCTCACTTTATAGCACTGATATATAATTGCAGTAAGTTTGCTTTAATCTTATACAGCAATTCTTTTAAAAATATTTCCATTTGAAACATCATTTCCATGATGTGACCACTGCCACACACTGTCATCACTATAGTCCACAATATAAAACATCTTATTTGATTAAAACTGGGATTTAAACCTTATAATAGGAATAATTGGACTAAATGAAATGTTATAGGACATTGTAGGACATTATAGGACATTATTGGACTAATTTAAAGTAATCATAACAATTGTCCTATCAGTTAACAAGTAATACCCAGACATTTGTATAAATCAAACAAAAAGAAAAGCTTGGCACTTTGGTATTGTGGGAACAAATTTTTTTTATTGACATTTTTTCATATATACAGTACATAGATACAACAAAAATGTTTACATAGTTTACAGTTAGGCCTACTAAGGATATGATGAATAAGACCAAGCTGACAATGCAAGTTTCTCATAGTGGGGTGAAATAACGTTTTGGACTGTTATTTTTATGGGATTTTTATTGCACAACATGATCCTCTGCAGTGTTTAGCAAGAATACAAGAAATACAGAAATGTGAAAATGCATTTACTATTATTACTATACTGTAAGATTCAGTATGTCATTGTCAGTATCAAAAAGGCTGTTATTGTATATGCCATTTACATAAAGCTATACCATATATACATGTACAGTGTTTAAAAGTTTGGAATCAATTAAAAGTTAGGAATATCATGAAACCAATCTGGTTGGTTTAATAACTGTATGAAATGATTTTAAGGCTGGCTTTACATGGTGAAAATTCCATGCAACTTTAATTGCATGAAACCTACATGAAACTAAATTGCACTCAAGTTGCATAATGTAAAGCATCCTGCAGCTCATTTGAAACTTAGCCGCAACAGATGCAAGCGTCTTAACTTGTGGAACAAGCTTTATGAAACAGCCAATCAAAACACAATATAATTTAAAACTATTGATTTTAACAGGTCAAAGGAAAAGAAAATGCCCCTTCCTTCTTTCCCAGTCACTCAGTGTTATGCTAGCCAATGCCTAGCTGATGTAACACAATCAGCAATTAGTCTTCTCCAAGTGTGTTGATATGTCCAATGATGTTGGTTTAGTAGAAGTTGGAATGCATTGAAGATGCATTGGTGCTTCATGTGACTCAGGAAAACCATGCTAGCCTTGCTAGCTAGCCTTCACACGGCCAGTTTGCTAGCGGCATGTAAAAGGGGAAGACCTGGTTAGTTAGTGGGAATACACCATGACTCAACTGGGGTGAAAAATATGAGAATAAGTGGATTGAGTTACAGTCATATACAAAAAGTTTTATCTCCTGTCAGAAATTCTATTTATTTGCTGAGTTTAACATATTAGAGAAAAAAACATACAATAAAAAATGTGCCATAACTTTTACACAGGCCACATTTTATTATTTCTTTTTGTCCCAATGTGATAAATTCAGCACATAAACATCAATTGCACATTAAAATGTGTTCTTTATAGAGTGCACAGTGCACAAACTTTTGCAAATGACTGTATAATAAAATTAATATCCAGAAGCCTCAAATCATTTCAAAATCTTGAGGCAGATAAATTGATAAAAAAAGAGATAATTATACAAAAATAGATTATTCGAATATTTTACCAGAATGATTGAAATATTTAAAAAAATGTCTAAAAATACTGTTTGTGGTCTAGTTTATTTAAATCCACCCTGTATAGGTTATTATTGTTTAAAAAAGTAGTAAAATGACAAGTGATTCCAAACTTTTGAACGGTGGAGTATTTTTCCTTTCTACCTGCCTCTCTCTCTCTCTCTCTCTCTCACTCACTCTCTCTCTCTCTCTCACACACACACACACACACACACACACACACACCCAGTCCATGTGTATATTCTTTGGTGAATTTAAATGATTACACAGAAATGCACAGTCTCATTGCACCTCTGCAGACTCAGTTCCCACAGAGAGTCAGCTGAATGATATAAAACTGGCCTCAGGCCTTTCTGTTCTAATGTATGTTAGACGTGTTCTTTGCAGCCCTGCAGATGCTTTGTAGTCCCAGCCAAACCAAGCAGTTGAAGGAAATCCCTCTCTTTCTCTCTCTCTCTCTCTCTCTCTCTCTCTCTCTCTCATTCCGCAGTGCTGTTGATGGAACCCCACCCGATCTCAGCATACACCTGTGTAACGTGCCAATAGACCACTGCCATCAGTTTAGACCACGCCCCCTGGGCCTCTGTATCAAAGGTCTCTGGGAAGGCCTCCACCAGCACTTCTAGAATAACTCCAGCCAGGATCTACCAGATAGACAAGACAGATGGACAGGAGATTATGTTAGTAATAAGGCCTGACAGATATATTGCCTTATTTCCAAAAATATATCAGCACCCAGGCATTGTGGAAATTGGCAGCACTTTCTTTTACAGTCCTAGTACTACATAATTATTTGCGAGTACTACATCATTATTTTGGGTAACATGATGCTAAGTTCTGAGATAAATTAATTTGCATGGAAATGCCAAACAGGTTCTAGATATTTAGTGAGTAGGGGGGATACAAACTTCAAACTTCATGATTTGGGTAACATGATGGCTCTGAGACAGTTCAAGTAAACCTGAGAGGAATGTCAGTCATTACTTTTTGAAACAATCAACTGTACCATAAAAGCAACTCTTTTGACTTCACTCATTTCACATGTGTATTTCTTTTATAACCCTCTTGGTGGCTCTAATGCAGCACCAAAACAATTTACAGTGATAGCTAGCCAGGCTAAGTACAGCCTCCACACAGAAGGGACAGTTTTAAAGGGCCCATATCATGCATTTTTCTTCCACTTATGATATTTGAGTGGTTTTTCTGCACCTAAAATGGTCAAAATTCCTTTTTACATGGCCATTTTCCAACCTCTCTCCATCCCTTAATTAAACAGGCTGATAGATGTAAATGAGCTCTGCTGTGACTGGCCATCCTGTATTCTGTCTTATCCAAAAAGCAGTTTGGACTGAAATGTTCCTTATAACTTCAGCTTGAATGGGTGGAGCTAAACTGCTACAGGCAGAATAGGTGGATATATGCTATTGCACTCGCTTTTGTGACATCACAAAAATTGTGATGTGCTGTTTTTGCCGTTTAGTTTCCATATTTGGACTGTATGGACTGGGGAGTGAATGACACATTTTGAAATGTTAACAATGTTCACAGTCTACATCAAACTCTTTCATTCAAAAATGCCATTAAAATAAATTTATTCATGATATGGGCCATTTAAATAAGCCTCCCCAACTAGTCCATATCCCCCTATATCAATTCAAAAGCTCACCTAAACCCCACTCTGTTGTAAGCTACCATTAATTAATGATTAGGATGTTCCCTACTGTCTCTTATTAATGCTAAAAAAATAAAAAATATCAATTTTCCAGTTAAGAAAACTGCACCCTAACAGCCAACAAAATCATATTTATCAGTGGACAACCCTGGATTCTGAGCTGGTATTCATTAAACAAAATTAGTTAAAGGGCTGATCTCAGATCTGATTCCTCCATGTTTATGACAGTCATTGTCACACAATCTGATTCTAGATCAACTCTCCTACTCCTCGGTAGTTTGTGAAAGGAGCCCCGAATGATGTAATAATGTATCAGGTTTTATGTTCAAACCCAATTCTGAAAAAGTTGAACAATAAGTAAATTACTAATAAAAAAGAAAGCAGTGATGAATAAATTCTGTTTGACCTGTATTCAATAGAAAACAATACAGAAACACAATATTTGATGTTTAACTTTATGAATTTCATTTTTTTTTTTTGTAAATATATACTAATTTTCAATTTGATGCCTGCAACATGTTCTAAAAAAGTTGGGACAGGAGCACGTTTACCACTTCTTTACATCACCTTTCTTTTAACTGCACTTAATAGTTGTTTGAGGACTGAAGAAAAAAAACTGATCCAGTTTTGAAAGGGGAATTTTTTGCCGTTCTTCTGTTATACAAGTCTTCAGCTGTGCAACCGTACAGGGCTGCTGTGGTCATATTATGAGCCTAATAATGCACACTATGTTTTTAATGGGAGATCTAGACCTCAGGCAGGTCAGTCGAGCACCTGCAATCTTTGATTACACAGACATGCTGTTGCAACACGGGCAGGATGTGGCTAGATGTGGTCACGTTGCAATAATCATGTGTGTTCCTGAAAAATAACCTTAGTACTATGTTATTTTCTTTTTAAACTGTTGGATTTTTTGCTGAAGCATTTTTGGCAAAGTGGTGAGCCTCAGCCATCCTTAATCATAAAGGACTAGGACTTTCTTGGATGCTTCTTTTCTATCCAAGCATGATTACATCACATGTTTAACAAATTTTTGAACATTTCACAATGTTCTTGGTTATAAATGACCTCTTTCCTGATTTTTTTTTTGGAATGTGCTGCAGGCATCAATTTCAGAATGAACATATTTACAAAAAACAATACTGTTAAGATAAAACATTACATATCTTTGTACTGTTTTAGTTCAAACACAGGTCAAAGTAGAGTCATAAATCACTGCTTTCTGTTTTTACTTGCATTTCACCTACTGTTGCAACTTTTTTGGAAATGGGTTTGTTTGTTTGTTGATATGACCTTTTCTCTTTTCCACCAGTACAAATTATGAACTAATATCTGTTGATCTTCATTTCTGGTTCCCACATAACTGAATGGAGCACAAACATCTCTATATGTTTTCATGTAGTAAAGAAAAATCAAGATAAAAATTCTCCAGGTCTCACTCACTTTGAAGTACCCTGGCTCCACGTTGTGTTTCACTGCATGTGATTTGGCCACCAGTTTGAGCACTGCTGCTGTTTTCTCTCCATCATGGACGTTCTCCACCAACGTGTTGAGTGCACTCATCACCCTCAGCGCGTGTTTCCTGAGCTGGGTGCTTGCCTGCATCTCCTCAGGATCTTCTAAGTGCCGGAACTGGCTAAAGAACTGCTTTGCTGAGGGGAAGCTTGTAAAGAGCCTAAAAAAGAAATACACAAATAAACACAGATCAATCATAAATGTCATGTTTTTGTCTACTTGCATACAAATAAGGCCAAATACACTTATTCCATTCATGTGTGTTTATTTGATTTTATGATGAGAGTTGGTATTTGTTTATTTGATTATTTTTTCACATTAACAGAAACAAAAAAATATCCAATCATATAAATAAAAGTATACATGGATCTCCTGATATACCAGAAAGAGTCTTGGGCTACAGTCATCTACCTCTGTAGGTCTTTTTGAACATGAGGGATACTTTTAAAAAACAACCCCACACTGAAAAGCTGCTGTAAATTTACAGTATTTATTTTACAGGAAATATGCAATGTACAGTCATTACAAAGTCAGAGACCACACTTCATTTATTAAATTCCTGTCATAACAGCCATTATCAACATTTTTTTCATTTTTCAATAGATTTTTCTGAGGGTGTGAGATATAAAATAATCCACATGTATAAGAAAGGAGAAAGCCAAAGCAAAATAAGTGAATAAACAGGAGTTTCCAAAACTAGCAGTCAAAAATTATTAAAAGATACAGAGAAAATGGAACAACCATGCAAGACCTGGTAGACCACCAGAACTGTCACTTTCATCTTTCCTCTTTGAGAAAGAGGAGAAAATCAAGCTCTGCTCTTCCTTCAGATCTGAAAAATCCACCGGTGTTTCTGTCTATCCTTCCACTGTGAGAAGACAACTCAACACTATGAGTCTGAAAGGATGTGTAGCTGTCAAAGAAGCCCTTACTGAGAAAAGAAAATAGAAAAAAAAGAAAAAAAAATGCAAATCAAACAAAGAAGCTGCTGATCTCAGAACAACGGACTGACCACCCCAGAGTCCAGACCTCAACATCATTGAATGTGTTTGATTGCTTGGATTGTGACAAGCAGAAAATGAACCAAATTCTAAGGCTGAACTTTGGTGATGCAGATTTCTTTGCAAAACTGAAAGCAAGTCTTCCCAAAATAATAGAAGCTGTAATAAAGTCAAAGGTATTTCTCTGATGTTCTATTTAGCTGTTAATTTTCTTTTAAATATATACTTCCTACATTTTGTTTCCTTATGGGCTGTTTTGAACGAAAATTAAATAAATGAAAGGTGGTCTCTGACTTTTTAACAGTACTGAACTATCCCGCTGAAAATAGTTGCTGGACCCAATTTAATAGGAGTGGATCTGGATCTGTCACATATTAAGCCCTGTCTATACACAAACATTACTTGGCTTATATTAAGTTATTCAGAAGAGGAGAAAAGACAGAACAGTGCATTAATTATGAATTACTGTGAGCGGGTGTGTTTGTTTTGGCCTGCCTGCTATCTCAGATATTCCTGGCGTACCAACATTTGTAATATTTACTTTAATTTAAAGGCCCATCAATACAGCACTCGCAGTCTGGCCTTATCACACATACACTCAGAAACTGTTCTGACCATTGGAAAACAAGCTCCTACATTGTGCAACTGCAGGTCAAAACAAAGGGCCAGCCTGCAGTTCTTTCATTGCGGGTTTCTCTGGAGATCAAAGTATAGGGCAAGCACTTTGTGGACACACACTTCTAAATTGGACACATGTAGAATTAAATTGGCTGTGGCCTCCACAACCGTCCATTGAATGGTGCTAGAATGGCTCAAAGGGGGGTTTTCAGTGGCCTGTATTATGAATCAAATGAGGGGTCAAACCCCCTCTGTGTTTGGAGTCTCAATGGAGGAAGTAGGGCAATCATTTTCTCTCTCTTTCTCTCTCTTTCATCCTCCTTCTCTTTTCTGTATCTCTTTCATCATCATGGCTCTATCCTTTTTTTCCTTTCCCTTATGACAAAGAACATTCACTGACAATAACAGCAACCATTTATATACTGCCATCAAATCCCATTTCTCTATCTATCTATCTATCTATCTATCTATCTATCTATCTATCTATCTATCTATCTATCTATCTATCTATCTATCTATCTAACCAGGTGGTGGTGGTGGTGTTGTACAATTCATCCTTCTTACACAACACGTTTCTTTTCTTCTGCTTTGAGCAGCACCGCTAACGAGGCTTAGCCTGTTGGTCTTTACATTGCATGTGTGAGTGTTCAGGACATTTTCAGAACAAAAGCTGTCTTAAAACATGGACAACCTACAATGTAAGGAGAAACAAAATGGTCCTGGGTTAGATTTAGAAAATTCTTATTGGGTAGTTATAAGTCACTGTCCAAAAACAACATTCATCTCCATTTTTGTTGATTTTTATTTTTCCACATCATTTAAACACAGCAGCTGTCCTTTACATTGTGTAAAATTTCATGAAGAACTGATCAATACAAATCACTTAGAACAAAATCTCTTTACATTAAAAGTTTGTTAAAATGTTTATTACCATCTCCTGTAAAGTTACTAAGTTATTCTGGAGATCCATGTTTTTCTTTGGACTGTGATGATATATGTAGTTATATAATTCATATGGGGCACATCAATATTACATATGCTAAACTATTATACTGTATGAAAGTCAGAGATCACTCTCTTTTATTTTCAATCAAAGCTGCATTTAAGTACATGTTATTCATTTTCTCATCTGGGAGTTTAGACCATGTCTTCAGCTGATGGTGGGAGCATGAGGGGAGACTGTGATTAAAGGAGGGAAGAGAACTTATGCTTGAGTTCTGATCGCAGGATGAAAACTTGGAACCCCCCACCCCCCTTTGGATGGTGATAAGACTGACAGATAGGACTGAGGAACAGGGAGGTGATGGGGTAATGGTGTGAAAACTGAGTCACAGGAAATGGGAAGTAGAGATGGGAATGTGTAGGGCATACGACTGGAAGAAGGAGGGGTTCTACCCCCTATTTCAATTCATTTTTTTAGAATAAAACAGGGATCCCATGTAACTGAAAATTACACAACAGTGAACTTTGAAGGTGTGGAAAAGTGTACCTGCAGGGATTTTACCAGCGGGGAACATTTAGGGCTTTCTAGGCCTCCAGAGAAGGCTTCAAGATTTCTTTGAACTAAAAAAACATATATGTCTGTAATTTTTTGTTATTTATTTATAAATATTAATATTAATATTTAATATTTATAGTTTATTTAACGTACTCATTATGCTTGTACTGCATGTATTTGTAGTAAATCTCATATTTTGGTTGAAAACTAATGGGTTATACACCCAATAGAAAATGATCCAATCAGGATTCTAACATGTCAGATTAAACACTAACATCATTAGGAACTGATAATGAAATTAATCAATTACATTTTGATTTACAAAGGGTGGAACCAATTTTGTAAGAAAAACAGGCCCTCTGGAAGTTAATGTGAATCTCTGTTAGCTTAACAGCTAGACATATTTCTAGAATCCCATAGAGGTGCTAATAGAAATTAGCATTATTGTAGAATTTTGACTTGTATGGCCCAAACTAAATGTCTACTTCTAATTGCTGGATTTTACACACATTTAATTTACAGAAATAGTCAAATGAAATTGAAATGAAATTAATTACTTTACTTCCCTGTCTTGTCCCAATGCTTATCCTTCTCACTGTATTTCTGATGCACTTATCTACCACTGCAACAACATGTGGAACATATCTGCTCCACATGAGACAACATCTGTTCCAGCTGTTTCATCCTGCTTCTAAGATAATCACAACAAGGAAAAAGGAATGCGTGTGTTTGTGTGGACAGATCATTTCTCTCTGAGAAACTGTGTCTGGGAGATGCGTTTATGTGAGTATGTGTCTGATTGAGTCTGATTATACATATGAGGAAACTGCATGCTCTCCCACAGTCCACCTCAATAGTGAGATAAAGGCTAGATTTATTTCCACTGGCTTCTCTACACAGAGTGTGTATCATAAGTCAGAATTCTGACTTGACACAAATCATTAATTAGTGTTAGTCATTTCAGGAATGTCAGCTGCATGGAATCAGCAAGTCAGCAGCAACATTTGGTTCTGATTTTATCTTCATGAAGCAAAATGAAATTAGTTTGCAAATGTAGGTTTCACATCTAATTCAAATTGATCTCAAACTGAAGTAGGTGGGGCTTCAAGGTTCTTATGGAATTTGTTTGTCCTAAATCAAGAAATCAGGGGAGAAAAGTTTGACTGTGAGAGTTTAAAACCCATTTTTGACTTTTTACTCACTTGAATTTTAGACTAAAATCCTTTTGCTTTGAATGAAACTTTAACTTAATAATGTTTACTTTAATAAATTATTGAACATTTCATTTTGTCACTACCAAAACAATAATAACACTACAGAAACTTTACCAAGTGTTTCAGTAGTAATTGTTTCGGTGGTGATAATTTTAGCCAATTTTGAGCAAAACACAAAAATGCTAGCCAGTGCATGACTAGCAAACACAGATTTGAACAGTTGTGCACCCATAAAATCATAATATTTTTCATTAAACATTAACAACCGTTTGCTTAATTGCTGAAAATATGTGTTTTGGTAGTCATAATTCGTAGTGTTATGTACAGATTATCAGACTTTGAGATACATTTACTTCAAAGCAATGAGATCTAACAACTCACCATGTGGCCACGAGGGACAGGGATGCAGTCTCACTTCCTGCTCTACAGTGCAGGGGTGTGGTTAAAATAAGGCTCCGCCTATGGATTTAAAACTCTTTGTGTTTCAGTAGTGACATGAAAATGTGGGACAGCATTTTTTTTAATAAGGTTTATTTTATTTAAGCCATGATCAATCTAAAAGTTGCCATGGTTAAAAGTCTAAAAGATTCTAAAATCTAAAAGTTTTTTTAAAAGAAATTTAAGGGGTAGGGTTTGGGACAGCCACCTTCCAATACAAAGTACCCTATAAATGATGCTTTTTTATATATATATATATTTAGCTTATTACTATCTCAGCTAACACTTTGAGTTTAAATAGATCATACCATAATTCTTGTAAATATTTTTTTTTGTGGGACTGGCAATTTGAACTGATTTGGTAGAAAAATCCATATAAAGGCCAATGTTT